ATTGGTTAAAAGAATGGGTTGAACAAGTCACATTTCTCTATTTCAACAGCTGCTTTTCAATAGCGGTATCGTTCCGCTATTGAAAAACGATAACGGTATTAATATTGAGAAAATGATCGATATTTTGCAAACACTAATTACAACTGAATAATGCATTCAAACTCAAATTGCATTTGAGAAGTGCCTAGGGAATCATAGATTACTTAACTGAAAGCAGTTCAAGTTGAAGGGAAATGGTGTGATTTTCAAAAAAAAAAAAACGAGAGGAAATACAATTTTAAATCAACTTAAACGTCATAATGTATTCCTAAACCATGGCCTAGTCTCTTATCGACAATCCTCATCTCGAAAGCTCTTCAACGGCAACATCAATTAGTTTTTTGTGTACAGTCAAGAATATAGCATCAATTGGCACGACATATTCAACAGAAACCAAAACAATCGCCAATGATAGAAGAACACACTTTCATGAAATCAGTAGGAGTACTCAACTGAAGGAAGGATACTCAAAAGAATAGCAAAACTTAAAGTTACGCATGCATTTAAATAAAATGGCTGACTATCATCATTAAAGCAATGACTGAATGATTTTGATGTTTTTTTCTTGTAAGATTTCGAGGATTTGAGGAACTGATGAAAGCAAAATTAATCAAGTGATCTATTTGAGCAATCAAAAAATGAATAATGCCACATTGATCACTTAACCACAAAGAGGACAGAAGGCTTGTTGAACAATGAAATGGAATTGTGAAAGCGATAATAATGCATATAGTTGATAGATGAGTGACGCTCGAACAGCAGCTTTTGAATGAGTATTTGTCACATTACTCTTAAAGTGTGTGACATATGTGAATAGATGTTCAATCGAACACTCGAACAGACGTACAAATTTGCAATAAGTGCCCAACATTGCAAACAATTAAGGATCGACTGAAGCTTAGCTGGATCCCGAAATTGAATGGACTTAAGATTCAATGAAGAATTGCTGCTCTGAATCGAATCATTGAACGTAATCATAAAACACTGATAGTGAATAAAAGAGAGAACATCCAAAGAATGGAGGTAAGTTTTAGGCCAAAGGAAGGCAGTATTTTAAATTGAACGAAATAAACTGAAACGACTGACCATCGAACAAGCAAAACGCCAATTATAGAATGAATGATAAGATGAGACTCATTCAACTGATACATTACTAGCCGATGGCGATTGATTGAAGAAGTTATAATAGACATAATGGATATGCATCCATACTATCCGCAGAAGAGATAAAACGGACATGAATGGACATACGCGTATCCCTTTATTTATCTAACTATTTAGCAAATGGCACAAATAAAATCACGAAGAGATCCATGCTCTTCCATCCTAACTACTGAATGCATGTGCTCAATCTAATAGTAAAGTAATAAAATGACAGTGAATCTAACTAACTTTCTAATGGGAACTGATACCCTTTCGTTCATGAATTTGGAGCTAAGTAATGAGTACAAAAAAACAATTATGAATGAGTATTGCTAAGATCGCCTGAAGTTGAGATCATTCATANTTACTTAGTTAGTGGTACAGTAGTGGTAGTGTAAGAATATATCAAAGTGAATATGAATCTGAACATACAATAGGAGATTATGTCGTGATCGATTAAAGGGAGAGCGGAAAGCTTAAGCAGGAAAGGCAATCTCCCTTGGTGATATAAACCGTCTCTGAATCTGTAAGCAAGATGCTGCATGCATGCAAGCTTAATGCATGCGATCATAATGCGGGTTGAGCACCACCCATATTCTCAGTGTGTTAGTGGATATTGTGAGTCAAGATCAGTCGATTTTGCTCTATGTTTAGTCCAATAGCAACTGAATGGTGCATGTGACAACAAGATCTGTCTGCTTCTGATGAGGGATAATGTTTCATAAGGTAAAGCAGGGAGGATAGTAATGAGAGGAAGGGGGAGGGGTAGGGATATACGGGTTACAATGACAAAGGGATATATAAGATAGCAGTATCGATAGTGGTGGTGATATATCCGTTTGAAGGGAAGAACTAAATGAGTAAATGGGATCGCATATGATCACAATAGCATTACGCTTATGCAAATACGGTAAATACACATTTATAACGTAATTTAATGTGTATCTATTATTTTCGATTGTAATAACTATCAAGCTAATCTAATAACAGCGATGGCACAGAAGCATCATATTCACTGAAGGAAAACAACTTGAAATAAAAGCTAATTGGAAAGAGTCGTTATTTTGTTCATTTATATTCGATTTGTTTTCACTTATATTCGACATATTATATTTGCAAGATGCAATATAAATCTAATGATCAGCGCAATATATCAGAAAAACAAATGAAGTAACTAAAGAAAACAATAAATAAGGATTTCGTCATCTGTTAACTAATACATCGACTCAATATGTTATTCATTCAGTAATTAGTTCATTACGTCTTACGCATTCTACGATTACAAAGTGGCAATTACTAGCGATATATCGTCGTGCATTTGGGCTTTGGCTTAAGCTTACGCACATACGGGGGACTCATTCATTTGTCCATAGATACCTCACTCTGGTTTGACACAAACATCTCTCTGTTTAACAGAAACCTTATCCCAGATACGCAATTCAGTCCGAACGCAATCCACCAAGATATCTCCCGCTGATTATCGCCAGTTATGTGTGCACGATTCTAAATTAGTTCAGAATTAATCTAACGTAAAGTTTAAGTTTACATTGTATACGTAAAACTTCTTATACTAAATTCTAATTCACAACAAAATCAAAAAGTAAACTAAATCGAGTGAACAAGTAATGAATTCAAAACCTTCTAGACAGCAGGCATCACATCGGTTGGTAAGCAATATTTCATATTATAACACTGCACAATTCACATAAGTCATGCATTCATCCAAATAAGTATGTTCGTCAGTCAGTTCCGTTTGTCTCTATGTTTGACCTAACCAAATCAATCAATCTATCATCACAAAAGGACGAGTGTATATGCGTAGTTGTTACATGCAATTTGTAGTCGGTGACAGATTGTGCGACCTCATTTACATCAAGCTAATTATTATGCGTTCTTCGATATTGCATTCAGCTGAAAGCTGACGGCTTTATGCAGCAATACTGATCAGCAGTTGATGAG